AGAAATTAAACAGTTAATAACGGGAATGGGGAAAATATGCTCAGGGGAATATCAAATCCTGAAAATAGTACAGTAATAAAACGCAGTAAATAACATGCTTTGCACCAACGCCAGTAATAAACATAGCAAACAAGTGCACGACATCACCCTTCGTGCTTTTACTCTCCTCCTCACCATAAGAAACAATAGAAATGGCACGACATCACCCTTCGTACTTTTACTCTCTCATAACATGGCACGACATCACCCTTCATGCATCATCACTCGCAAAATACGGCACGACATCACCCTTCATACATTATCACTTACAGAAACATAGCACGGCATCACCCTTCGTGCATTATCACTCACTCACAAAACATTACACGACATCAACCTTCGTGTTTTAACACTCACTCACAAAATATTGCACGACATCACCCTTCGTGCTTTTAATACTCTCCCTTACCAAAAATAATGATCAATAACAACAAGGAGATAGAAATATCATAAACCAGTCTTACTTCAGCGTTTAATTCCACAATACCAACCTCAACTCTGAGTCAATACTTAATTAATACCAAATTCCACAAAACATGATAAGAATTTCTCGACACATGGAATATCAAGTCTAAACATGGAATATACGACCAAAGAGTACCCCAGTTACAAGAATAAGGCTAATTCGCATGATATGACCCGACAACAACACATAGGTACTCGTCACCTTACCTATACATTGTACACAACATCAAAACATGTAGCAAATAGGCAGATAATACCTAATCCCTCAAGCCAGGGTTAGACCCAACACTAACCTCGATTCCACGGCCGGACTCAAGCCCCAATCACCGCTTTTACCTTAGTTTCCACCTCTGAACCACTCGTATCTAGCCACAATTAACTCAATATCATCAATTATTGCTAAAGGAATCAACTACACTGCATAAATTTAGTTTTCCCAATCTTTCCCCCCAAAAGTCAAAAATCGACCCCGGACCAGCTTGGTCAAAACTCGAGGTTCGGACCAAAACCCATTCACTCACGAGCCCACGAGCCCAAATATGTAATTAGTTTCGGAATTCGACCCCAAATCGAGGTCTAAATTCTAACTATACAAAAAACCCTAATTCTACCCAAATCCTCAATTTCTACCATGAAAACCCTAGATTTAGGTTGAAAATGGGTGAAAAATAATGGATAATTGAAAGAAAGTGGTTTAGAATCATTTACCAACACTTTGGGGAAGAACTTGAAAATCGTCTTTATGCCTTCTAGTTTTTGAAAATATGAAAAAAAAGGCTCATCCCGTTTCTGCTTCTATTTTAAGTGCTGGGCAACGGTGTTCATCGCGATTGCATGAACACTATCGCATTCGCGAAGAGCAGCCTTACCAGAACTTACACGATCGGGGGAAACACTACGCGTTCGCAAAGGTTTAGACCCGCACTACCTTCGTGTTCGCGATACGGGGCTCGCGTTCGCATAGGGTTTCCCAGATCCCCTGACCAGCCTTCCTAAAGCTACGCGGTCGACCGGTCGCGTTCGCGTATAGCAACTCCCTCCAATACTCCGTGTTCGTGGCCCTGGTCTTGAGCTCGCGTAGAGTGAAGTCCTCCCCCAGCCCAGTTCCCCCTTCGTTATCGCGAAGCACAAAGGATCAGAATACTAGCTACAACAAAACACACCAGATTTTCTAAGTCTAAAACATCCCGTAGCCTATCCAAACCTCACCCGAGCCCTCGGAACTCCAAACCAAACATGCACACAAGTCTTAAAACATCATACAGACTTGCTCACGTGATCAAATCGCCTAAATAATACCTAGAACTACGAATTTAGCATAAAATTGCATGAAATTTTTAAGAAAGTTCAAAGGTTCTATTTTCTCAATCAAAGGTCCGAATCACGTCAAATCAGTTCCGTTTCTCACCAAATTTCATGATAAGGCATAAATACCATATTAAACATGTACCGGGCTTCGGAACCAAATACGGGCCCAATACCAACAAGATCAACTATTAACCATTTTCACAAAACCATTATAATTTCAGTTTAACAATTTTTATCAAAAATTCATTTCTCGGGTTAGGGACCTTGGAATTCGATTTCGGGCACATGCCCAAGTCCCATATTTTACTATGGACCTTCCGGGACCGTCAGAATACGGGTTCGGGTCCATTTACTCAAAGCGTTGACCAAAGTCAACTAAAATTACTTTTAAAGACAAAAATTATTATTTTCTCAAATTTTCACATAAAGGCTTTCCGAAAATGCGCCCGGACTGCGCACGCATATAAAAAAAAAAGTAAGATGAGATTTTAAAGGTCTCGAAACTCCGAATTGGGTTCTAAAACACGAGATGACCTTTTGAGTCATCACAACTATCATCAATCCGTGCCATAAAAATACTATACTTTTCCATATTTACAACCAATCTAGTGACATTACTAAAGTGATTAAGTGCCTCCATGACTCTATTTACCGAACTTTCATTCCCTTTACAAAAAATCATTTTAAGTCATCCACAAAGATAAGGTGAGTAAGTTTCACTGAATTACACATGGGATAATATTTGAAATCTGGTAACATATGGAAAAGTATCCACAAAGATAAGGTGAGTAAGTTTCACTAACAGTCTTCAGCATTCTTAATAGATACTCCATTATAATGATAAATAGCGGGGGGGAGGGCGATAGGATAGGACCCCCTTGCCTAAGTCCCATCTTCCCTACAAAGAAACTGTGATTTTCTCCATTAATCTTGACTAAGAACTTTGTAGTTGATACACATATCATAATCCACTATGTTATAATCCACTAGATGAATTTATCAGGAAACCCAAAGCTCCTTAGTGCTTCTTCAAGAAATTCCCAGCTAATCATGTCATATGCTTTCCTTAGATATATTTTCATAAGGCGTCTAAGAGATATCTTTCTATTGTAATGCCTCAGAATATCATGACATATAAGGATCTTGTGCAATATAGATCTCCCCTAGACAAAGGCTGATTGGTTATCTGCCACCAATTGATACACATCCACTTTCAGTCTATTGCAGATCAGTTTTGATTTGCACTTATATAATACATTGCAACATGAGATTCATCTATATTGGCTAGCTTCTTCTGGGCCTTCCACCTTTGGAATAAGTGCTATAACAATTGAGTTGAGTTGTTTAAGCAATTTTCTATTCTGAAAAAAATTTCATCAAAGCTTCTGTAACATCCTGTCCCACTATCTTCCAAGCTGCCTTGTAAAAATCACTACCATACCCATCTAGACCACGACTTTTATTTCCATCTATTTGAAACATTGCCTCTTTCATTTCTTTCTCCGCAAAAGGCCTTGCTAATGTGATTTGTTGCTCAGTTGTAAGAACATGGCCATTTCTCAAAAGGCTATTGAAGGCTGGCACTCTAGTATGTGATCTCCTTCCCAGCAACTCTTTATAGTAATTGACAAATAGATCTGCAATAATTTCAGGATCTATATGTCAATCTCCTATTGAGATTTTTTAGCTGTGTAGTGGTCTGCTTTAATTTTTTATGCCTTATTACTGAATAAAAATACTTAGTATTATCATCCCCCAACTTTATCCAGGTAGCTTTACTTCTTTGTTGTAAGTAGATTTTAGCCAAGTAGGATGTCTGTCTGAACTTTGGGTACGCTTGAGCCTCAGTTTGTTGATGAGCTGCACTCGTTGGACTGCTCTGCAACTGTATCTGAGCTTGTTTTAGTGCTTTCTTATCCTCCTCAGCTTCTGCTACAATTGAGTGACTATACTGAGTTCTGAGTGTCTTAAGCTTCTTCTTTAGTAATTTCAGCTTCTGTTTACTAACGATGTTGAGATATACAAAAGCGGTCAATATGAATAATCAAACGCTTGGAATTAATTCGCTTATAATATTTTGTATATATATGGTGTGTATATTCTTTGAATATATATATATATATATCCTTTTAAGAAGTAATAGTTTCTCACCAAAGAAAACTTGATTGATCAAAAAGCTCCAGCAATTATATATAAGAACTTGAAAAGAAAAACATAAAGACTAAATTAAAAATATGTTGCATATATAAAGCTATTAATTTTAGTTTTGATGAGGAAGAAAAATGGATAAAATTAGTTTAGATAGTTTTATTTCCTATTCTCTTTCTGTGCTTTCTTTCTGTAAATAAAATAATGTTGTACTGGAGCAACAAAAAGAAGACCAAGTACATGAAATCAAGATTGGAACTAGTTTGATATTACTATTTTTTTGGCTAAAAAGTAGAAGATATTGCTACTTTATTTGATTAGCAACTCTTTAGTCCGTAACAGATAAAATTAAATACTGTAATTACTTACTAAATTAATACTGTTCGCTCCTAACATAGTAGGACCAACTTCACGTGAACACTTAAGCTCACTGCATGAGAAGTCAGCCATATCCATCTCTTCGTATATTTCTTTCTTTACACAATCTTTTGAAGCATCCCCATGTTGATTAAACAAATACTATGAGAATAGTTTAATAACAACTCAATCTGGTTACAATTGCATTGAAGCCTTTGCATATATTTCTTATATTAGCCATGCCAAAATTAACTCATTTTTAAAAACTTGCTTAATTTGATCTTATGAATTAAATTTGAAATGACCCATCAAGCCATTGGATTAAAGCGGCAAATATAAATTAGATTTGAAGAACTCAAGGTAATAAATTAAGAAAAATACATAGGATTTTACAAAAAAAAATTCTCCAAAAAGTAACACTAAAAAAGGAAGGGAGATCAAATATGAGTTGGACTAATTGGATTATGACATATTGTTTGACAACTCAAGCAAACTATAATATGGACGGGTTGGTCATATGACTTGTTTGTTAATTTGTTCCATTATAACTTGCTCATGTTTGACCCGATTTATTCATTTGTCACCTCTACACCTATATAAATGTGTATTGAACAACAGAAAATCATTACTCTATCATTTGATTCCAAATCCCAAACTCTTCCTAAGCTACATCATTCTCTAACATGAATTCTCAAAATTTGCAAAAATACCAGTCCTTACCAAATCACAACAAAAAGAGGCTAAACCAAGAGCAAATTAAGCTTTTGGAATCAAGTTTCGACTCAACTAAGAAGCTCGAGCCGGAGAAAAAACTCCAATTGGCAAGAGAATTAGGGATTCCTCCACGACAAATTTCCATTTGGTACCAAAACAGGAGAGCTAGGTGGAAGAATCAGAATCTGGAGATTGACTATAATGCCCTTCAGCTCAAGCTTGAAACTGCATTATCTGAGAAGTTACAATTGGAAAAAGAAACTGAACGTCTACGAGGGGAGTTGCAAAAAGTAAACCAAATGTTAATTGCACTAAATGGAGAGAGTGCAATAAATTTTCCTTCATGTGATGTTTCACTATCTAGTTGTTGCGAGGAAAGAGGGAGCTCTAGCTTTCAAGATGTGATCAGCTATAGTACTACATGGGTACATGCTCATGAGGCTAATAATCTGCAATTTAATGAGCTTTATGCTTTGATAGGTTTAGAAGAAGGGTCCAATAACTGTCGTTCAGCTTGGTAAAATGAATAAGAATTTTGGGAAATCAAATGAGATCGAATTTCATACTCTCAATTGTACTATCATCTTTGTTAATCAAATTTACATCAATCCTATTTTTGTTTCTTTCTTTTCCTTTGATAGGCGATAAATGTTTAATACCAACAAGTGGCTAATGGACATCTTGAAAGTAATATTCTTGTTTTTTTTTTTTTGCTGAGAAGATGGACCAAGCAAGTTGCAGCCATCATATTTATCGCATTGTTAATTATAATAACATGGTAGATTGATAGTAGAAGTTTAAAATATGTGTCAAAATAATGCTAGTCCTAAAAAAGAATTCAATATGTTTTGTATATGATGTTGGACAGTTTATTTGTGAAAATATTTATATAGCCAAAAATGAATCGCCCCTCGAATCGGGTCAATAACATCAAAGACTATCTCTTTACCAAAGGTANGCGCATCATAAATGGAACTTTCTGGACCTCTTTGTAGTAGATACAAAATTTATGCCTAAATGTGTATTTTCAAAAAAAATGGCTTCTGTCCTCGCGCTCCTACTATCAAAAAAGCTCGCTCTTTCCCTCCAAATCAGAAAAGGAACAAATAAAAGCCAGTCTCTCAGTCGAAACAACTTCGTAAAAGACTCAGAATGGCGTCGACGTCCGGCGCTGGCAGTGGCGTAGCTGCCGGAAGAATTAGATCTCATACATCGGCGATATACTCCGACAATCAATCCCTCATCCGTGTATCATACCTTGCGCGCGCAACTTTTGAAATTACCTCTAATTTTTTTTTCTTTTAGTTGTTAATATGACTGATTTCGTTTTGTATTACAGGAAATTAGGAAGGCTGTGACCATGATGAAGGATATCGCGGTGGATTTGGAGAGAGATGAGAGAACCGAGATGGTACTTCATGATAAACCCTAGTTATATGTTCATCATTTACTTTTAATTCTCAAATGTTCTCCATCATTCGCGTTGTAATAAGTGAATACCTTTAGGAAGACGTAGTGTTATTGAATTTGACTTTCACCTTAATATTTTACCTTTTACCTTGGTTAGTCTGAATGCTAATAATCAGCTATCTTGTAGTAGGTCCGGTAATTTGTACTTTATCTTAGTCAGTCCGTTCCAGTGACTTGATGTGTTGGTCAAATGAACAAACTTAGGCTCACAAAAAGCTTTGAAAATAATACTACTAGGCAAGCGCACCTAAGCATGTGGCCTAGTCTTCAATATAGTGGAAGAAGAACCATGAGGTCTTTGGTTCAAATCCCAGCATAAGCAAAAATCACTTGGTGATTTCTTCCTATTTGCCTAAGCCAGAGTTACTCTACGCTCGTGTTGGTGGGAGGTAGTTGCTACCAGTGGAGTAGTCGAGATGCAAGCTGGTCCGAACACCACCGTCATAAAAAATTAATACTTAGACTAGCATTTCTGTGTATAGAAATGTGTAATATTACCATTTGGAGTGTTAAAACAACTTTTCTTTGACTACACAATTTCAAACATTTTTAAGTATGGAAGTGTTCTCTGTGTAGTTTATTGTAAAAGTTTATTTAAAAGAAGCTAAGAAATCCATGTTGGAACTCACATGTGTTAACACTCGTACTGCAAATCTCACAATCTTTTGGGAGGGGGTAAAATTCTAGCAAACCATTTAAGTTTTGCTGGAAAAGACCAAATAGGCTGAGATAAATTTGTTCTTAAAACTATTTATGTTATTATTGAAAGCCAAAGATGGAAAGTTGAACTGGGTGAAAGGCTTACTTCAAATATTTGTTGCATGAAATGTTAACTAATTGTGGGCTCTTGCATCTTGTATCTTGACATTCTTGTGGATTCCCCTTCCTTATGTCTAGTTATTTGTTCACAGCTTCACATTGTGGGGGAAGACTGAGGGTCAGAAGAAAGTAGCATTGGTTGCATGGGAGAAAGTTTGTTGCCCAAAGAAACTAGGAGGTCTGAATGTGAAAGGCTGTAAAATATGGAACATAGCATCAGTAGGAAAGTTATTGTGGCAATTGGTAATGAACAAAGAGTCCCTTTGGGTGCGATGGGTTCATGGTGTATATATGAAAGTTGATCGTAATATTTGGACACATATTCCTCCTATAGATAGTAGTTGGTATTAGAGGAAGTTAAACTCCCTAAAAGGAGAGATGCAAGAATGGTATTCACAAGACAGATACAGCCTAACTTCATGAGGTAGCTACTCTATAACTAACACTTATCTTGCTATGATAAATCAGCAACCACGATTAGAGACAACAGACTTGGTATTGACTGCTGTGGCTCTACCTCGACATAGATTTGTCATGTGGTTGACAATTCAAGGGAGACTACTTACCAAAGAAAGGCTAATAGGGATGCAAATCCCTGTGGAAAACATAAACTGCAGCTTGTGCGAAGCAGAGCAGCTGGAAACAAAGGAGCATCTGTTTGTTGACTGTGGCTGGATCAAAGCAGTTAGACAAGAGATCAACCAGTGGATAGGACAATCAGTACAGGAAGGGGATTTCAAGTTGATGCTGGAAATGATTAAAAGAAAGCATTGGAAGCAGTTTAAAAAAGAGGTGATAGCAGCAGTCAATGGAGCAGTGATATACCACACTAGGAGAGCTCGGAGTTTTAAAAATTTTCAAGGCAAAAATGTACATAGATTAGAGATAGTAACACAAATTAAGAGGGAAATTACAGAGAGAGTAGATCATATGAGGATGTCAAAGAAAGCTTATAGGTGTAGGAGTTTTATCCAACGTCTACTGTGTAATTAGATATTGTGGAGTTGGGGGTCTTGATCTGTGGTCAGATTAAGGTTGCCTTATAAGTGTAATTGTTTTTGGTGTTAATGGTAATTTTATATGGTTACCCAAAAAATAAAAAGTTTAAACAAGCAGTTAGTATTACCAATCATTTATATAAGTCACACTTGTGTTTAGTTTCTGACAATAATCATTAATATACACAGTCCATTGTGTTTCTTTTGGTGCCGGTGTAATATGCAATACAAACTGAAAATTTCGTTAGAAATTGAAGAAAATACTGGTTGAACTAAGTTAATTTGAAGGTTATGGATATACTAACTGAGGAAAAATTCATTGTAGTACTCGATTCCACCTATCAGAATGTGATGTTTGATGACAGAGCCACAATGCTAGTTTTCTCAGAATGTTTTGGTGAATTATATGTTCTTAATACAGACAACTAGCAGATGCTGTGGTTTAATGTCAATGTTGATGTTAATAAATAAAAAACTGACTTTAAATATTGCTCATTAGGAAACCTTACAATTTCTTTCTTGATGGATTGTAGATGAGGTTGTCTTATACTGTTGCAGGTAAAGGATCTCGAAGCTGGTGTTATTCAGTTGTTGGAGGNCCCACCAATAGGAGTGGCAAACGGGCGGGTCGGGTCGGGTATGGTTCGGGTCGAAAATGGGTAATGAAAAAACAGATCAATTATCTGACCCTACTTATATTTAATACGGATAAAAAACGGGTTAATCGGCGGATAATATGGGTAACCATATTATCCATGAATTCTTGCATATAATCACTTTTGGGAGAATTCTTAGTCTCCCTAACTTGAGGAACCCCCAATTTGAGGCTTTACAAATGTAAAAGTTAGACCCATTGATTATCCATGGGTTACTCATTGGTTATCCATTTTCTAAATGGATAATATGGTTCTTATCCATATTTGACCCATTTTTAAAAAGTTCATTATCCAACCCATTTTTTAGTGGATAATATGGATGGTTAACTCTTTTTTTTTAACCATTTTGCCACCCCTACCTACCAATATGGAACAAGAGCACAGAGAAGAGGACCTGGTGTCGATGTCTCAGGATAGCCAAAATAAATTAAGAGCACATAGAGGTCTCCTGTTCTATGAGGCCTACAACTTTGAACCACATAGTGGACAAAAGAACCTCTAAGTCCCATGAAATGTGCATCAGGCTCTAACTAAATGATAAATGGAACTTGAGCCTAACTCAACCTCAAAAGCTAGCTTGTGAGGTGAGGATTGCCCAAGACCATATAAAGAGATCAAAGACCTCAAATCCCACCGATGTGGGACAACTCAACACCCCCTCACGCTTAGGCCTGCAAATTGGAGTGTGGACAACTTAAATGGGGGCCCAACATCTATAACAATAATGGGGATGGGCCTGACTCTGATACTATGATAAATGGACCTTGAGCCTAACTCAACCTCAAAAGCTAGCTTGTGAGGTGAGGATTGTCCAAGACCATATAAGGAGACCAAAGACCTCAAATCCCATCAATATGGGACAACTCAACAATACCACAGTACATCTAGCAAATATCTTCTGAAAAGAAACTTTCTATTTGTTTCTATGACCAAATTCCAGATATTTGATACTTAAAAGTTTATCATGTGAAGGTGAAGCAGCAGAAGTTCTCTTAAACAAACAACAACTGCTATACCTCAGTCCCAAATGAGCTGAGGGAGGTCCCTTTAAACAACTAAAACTTATTTGTATTGTAAGTCGTCTTCAGCTTAGTAAGAAGCTTGTTTTCTACATAACAATTTAAAGGGACATTGTTATTGCAGCCCTTATTGACCTTATGCTTCTCCTCTATCTTAGGAAAGTCTTTAAGATTGTTTCCTTCTCAAGTTACTTCGCAGTAGCGTTTCCTTCTCTTTAGAAATTGTTTTGAAATACAAAGCTTCTTGAGAATTTATCAGATAGTTGAATTTGTCTCATCACTTTAGTGCTCGATCAAACTTATTGAGAGACAGAATTTTGTGTTGTGAACTTTAATTTTTATTACCATACCAAAATCTAAAATGGATGTTTAGGGATTAATAAGAGATTCGAGTATTTTCTGATTGAATCTGATGTAATGACTTTGATTCCAAAAATGCTTCTTTTTGTTTTCGAGGTCCAGAAAAATTTTAGATGATTTTTCTTAGTTGCATTAAGAATTCTGCACGTGAATGATCACACTGAACAAGTTAACTTCATGATTTTTTTCATTCTTCAACTTTAATCTTCTTCAGCACGTCAAGGTCAACTCCTTTACGGGAGAAGAAAATATGAGTGGGTTATGCAAGTCATGTCTAGCTCTAAGCTCTTAGTACCAGATCTCCTTGGTCCAAAGTTTACATGAATCTTGGAAAATAGCTAAGCTTTGTACTGGTGTCCCATTCCAGACTAAGTTCTAATGGTATATTGATCTCCAGTATAAGTACATGGGAATAATTGTCAGGATTGGATTAAAGACCTTTCTCCAACTGACAAGGAAAGCACCAATCTGGGCTCCGGAGGATTCTCACTGTGTGATGTTGCCAAAAACAAGAGTTGTGATTTCACTGGCTAAATTAGCAGTCTACTGAAAAGCTACACCAATGCACCCCCAAATAAAAGATCCATTTCCTGTGAGCGCCAATGTTTTAGCATGTTCAAAGGGTCCTTGTAGTACATGGTGGACTGGTCATAGCAGTTTCCTTTGCTTGTTGTCAGTTTCCTAGCTTATACAGAGCAGCAGAGGTATTATATAAATGCTACTGTGATAGTTTTCTGTGAACAAGAGGCCACACATGAACAAATAACCCTCCCGTGCCAAAGCCAAAGAAAAAGGGAAAAAGAAAAAAGAGCGGCTAAGAAGATGAAAGAGAAAAGGAAAAAGAAGAGGGAGTATGGTCCCAGCAAGAGGGGAGGCTTTTTCCTCTGAAATCAGCATCTTTCTTTTCCATTTAACCATGTGCACCAGACGACTATATCCATTTGGAGTCTCCAGTTATAGTTTGATTAATTTGTATTCTAAATCTTTTAACCCCTCCTTTTTGTTAGGGGCCACTGTTGAGTAACAACTTAAGGGTAATTGAGCTCTTTCTTTCTTCTGCAGCATGTTCATCATGCGGGACAGCCAATGCCAGGTGAAGAGCAGGAGGACATAGTAATGACCAGTATGCAGTGCAACCTTCTGAATGTGACTTGCCCGCTAAGTGGAAAGCCTGTTACTGAACTTGTAGATCCAGTTCGTAGGTATAGTGAATATCCTTCTTTTACTTCATATATCTAGGTTTACAATGCAGAGAGTACTTTAGACATTAGCATTAGTAGATAGTTACTGAAGAAAGTACTTTGCATTTACATTCATATTTTATATAATCTACTTTCCCACCTTTGCGACTATGCTAAGGCTTCATTGCCTTACGTGTTCTCGATTTAGATGCTGTAGAACCTCTTGCTAGTTCGGTGTTTCTGTCTCATACATGGCTTTTTACCACTATATAATAACTAACTCTTATATAACTGTGAGCCAAGGATCGGCTTTATTGTAGTCTCTTTCTGTTATTAAGTTGTAATGCGCACTGGAAATATGTCTCTTTTTTCTAGTTATTAGGGTGCTGGAATGCTTCCTTATATTTTCTCTTCTTCTTCCCACATTAGAGATTCCATACACAATCTCATTTTTATTTGCATACTGAGTTTTATACTTTTTACCAAGTATTCTTGTATGCAGGCGTGTTATAGCAGTAATGGGCTGATTGATATTTGTCTTACAAATTTCAATTGCTACATGTTAATTTTGATATTTGGTTTACATATTTTGCTCTACTTGCAGCATGGACTGCAAGCATATATATGAGAAGAAGGCTATTCTGCAGTTTATTAAGTCCAAAACCTCACGTGGCCAATGTCCCGTTGCAGGTATTTGTTCTTTTTCTATCCAACACAGGTTCTGTTCATTCAGTTACTAAATGAAAGTTAACTTTCTTTCAGGTTGTCCTAAAGTTCTCCAGGCTCAAAGGGTGTTATGTGACCCTTTCTTACTTATAGAAATTGATGAAGTCCGCTCCATGAGTAAGCAAAATGCTGGACCTGATGCGATAGAGGATTTTACTACACTTGATGAAGAGGATTGAGGATATTTGGGGCCCTGACAGACTGTTGACCCTCTTATATGTCCAAATATACAGGGTCTGCTCATGAACAGCTTATTTTTTTGTGTAAGCAATGGGAAACCATGTTTTAATCTTTAGGAAGTTTGGGGGCAAAACTATTTTTTTCCTCTTTTCCAAGAGGGGATAATTAAAGTTTTGTAATTTTTGGAAAGGAACAACTTGTGCATACTTGTATAAATTGCCAATGGACCATTTTCTGTTCAAGAACTGGCGGTCCAGATTTTTATATTGTGATTATATAAAAAAAACTTAAAACGGAGTCTGGAAACAAAAGGTAAGAAGCTTTCCCTCTGGGTGACAGAGCAGAGAAATTAACCATGTCACGATGGCATTGAAGAGTTTTAGTGCTATCGCAATGAGGGCATGCACAGAACTAGAGAGGTCATGGAATTATTTATCCTGTCTATATGGAAAACCGGTGCTTCTAACTGGACCCCTCTTGCTTGAACCATCAAATGAGCGTTTGGATGAACCAGTGGGCGAAATTGGCTGCAACAATTTGACCCAGGCTCGGTTGTGTCATGTGCTTTTGGGACCAAAGTGGTTCTTGAGAAGGACCCGTTTCAATAACTGCTTTTGGAACATGAGTTGACAGGTCTCCCTTGTTTAATTGGCTCTGAAACTGCCATTTTGCCGCCTAAAGGCAGGGGGCAGAGGCGTATGTGGGGCGTAACACTTGCAAGTCACGTGGTTGCCGCTTTATCAACTACTGGTTCCAGCCAGAGCAATCCTACTTTCCTTTTTTGGATGTTTTACATCCAACAACAAGAGTATTACGGCGCGGTGTTAAAGAAATACTAAACTAAACGATTGAAATATTAGGTTGGTAAGAGTTAAAATTTTAATAGGAGTTCTAAAAACTGTATTATATAACATTAATATTAATAATGAAAAGTGTCAGTGTTTCAAAATAAATATGCGATATAAATTGAGATAGAAGAATTACAGCTTTCTATGTTCCAACCTGGTCTTAAAATAACATACAAACAGTATTTTGATAAACTTTTATAAAGACAGAATCTGAAATAAGATTCGTTCTTCTAAATTAATTCTTTCCAAGCTCGACAACAATCAATTCATAATCTTTGGAATTTAAATATTAGTGAACAATGAAATTGCGTTTTTTGGATAACATCATACATTGTACAGGACCTCAAAAGCAGCAGCAGTTGAAGGATACGGAAAATTGACAAAAGAAGTCGATCTACTGATCACTGAAGCTGATAAGAAAATCAAATCAAAATGAAATAGAAAACCAAAATTTTGATTTTTACATCTCGTAGTTCCACTCTTACTCTGCAGTCATACAAAAAAATTCGGAATATGCCAGTCAATCAAAAGGTTCCTTTCTCATTACTATCCACTCTACAAGAGAACAAAGGCATAACGTCTCAAATTTACAATGAGTAGAAACACCCTTCTTGTCTAAGTTGGTCAGTACACCATCTCTAAGGATAAACTCAGTATCAAGCTCCTGAGGCAAATTCTGAGAAGATTTGCATTTCTCAGTTATGCCATTGCCTTTCAAATGACAATCACAATCTCTTAGCTCGATTAAATTGTCCCCTAAGTTTCGACATCCACACATGTTAGTTTCCTTGCATTCAAAGTATTCACTGTGCCTTTCTTGTACTCGCTTCTCATCAAGCGAAGTTGAAGTGTTAGCCAGCAACCAAATCCTCAAAGCCGAATGAAGATGTGCAGCTAATGAGGCCAGAAAGTCATAAGCATCCTCTACCATACACTCAACCTTTTTTAGTCCCAACTCGTGGGAAAGCATTTTTCTCAAGGTGCACTGAAGGTTCAGCAGGCACTGAGAACAGCACCGAAATAAACACACTACACTAGAGTCAGTTGAAAGATTGGAAGATCTATTTGATGAACATTCAAGACCTATGCTATTGCCAACCGACTTTTGGTTGCTATCTCCAATTTGAACATTGTTTGGAGTGGGCAATCTTCCATTTGTGTTGGAACTCATACTATAATTGGAAAGCTCAATGCCACACCTGTCCTTGGAAGAATTACTACCATCCTCTTGCACATCATCAATATTTAACTCCATGAGCCCATTAGAATGTGCTTCTGGATTAACACGACTACAATTTTCAGCAGTTAGTTCTGGCCGATATGTTTCCAGTGTCTCCGGTTTGTCAAGGGATGCTTCTAGCTCACGATCTCCCTCCCTTTGAGGTGTATCCTCAGGAGCATTAGCGCTTTCCGGAAGTCCAGCACAACCAATCTTTGGGTTTGCCACTGCGAGTTGAGAGCCTCCCTCTAAACTGAAAGTAAAGCCATTTGCATTAGATGTAAGGCTGGAAATAAGAAGCCAAAAGAAACTTTACACGAACTACAAGTAGAGCCAAACTTACCTCTGCAATGTATAAACCCAGCTACTAACCATGTCATCAAGATAAGCCACTTGCGATAAAAGACGACCAAATTGATACCTATCCCTCCCATTCTGAACTTTATCATTGATCTGTTCAACCAGAAGCTCGAGAACTTTTCGAACCTCAGAAAAAACTTCTCTAACGGATGAGTATTTGCCTCTGTATGCCAACAATCCAATAGCTATCAGGCCTCGCACCATACAATATTTCTCTTTGCCTTTAGTATTGTTGGAAGAAAGGATAACCTTTCTCATTGAGTTAATAGGTCGAATAACACAAGAATTGAATGGCCAACCCTTCCAAGGTCCATTTATGTCAGCACAAGGACCTTCTCTTAACTTGGATGTAAACCAACAAAGTTCAGCAAAATGAGGATATAGCAGAATTTGATAGCCAAATGTGGTAATTGCTAACATCAAGCTTGATTTCGCTTTTACATTTCTACTGTTAACTATTGCAGTAGTAGGAATTGGACATTGTTTATGCACATGCTCAATGGTTGGTCTAAGATCTGACCTCTGACATTCTACGGCAACATTGCCCTCAGATTTGTCACTAGCTTCATTATTGCAGGTGTGCAAGTGGACATGGTTTTTACGATGAATCAGCTGAATGAAGTGCTGAGCTAAATCTTTTGACAACTTTGCTGCTGAGGAATCAATCAGACATTCTTGATTAAAATTTCTATCAAGCTGCTCAGTATATCTAGAAACTGAATCCTCCAAGGGAATTGGGATACTGCAGTTCAACATCTGACTTTTAAAGAACTGCCTCACTCTAACAGGGAGTGCTTCCAACTGTACATCGGATGTAGCCTGTTTAAGGGAAACAGGAAACAGAAGGCGGTGGGTGCAAAAGAGTAAGTTCTTTAATGATTAAAAGTTGTAAAGCATTTGTGCAATCTAGGATAGCCTTTAAAAGCACTAAAGAGAATCACATTGTATGCCAGAAGCAGTTTTTGTTTTCGCATGCAAACTTGCTAATACAATATGAAAAAATATCAAGGTGTACTCCTTTCACATAATATTTGGAAAGATATATAAAATCTCAAGGCAAATTTAAGGAGACAAGGTACATACCAGAAGCATCACAGATGTGGACACGCATATCGTTTCCACTTGCTCAACGAAGGAGCTCCACAGATATGAGGCTCTTTTGAGAGCATCCCCAGCCTGTTCAGCACTATGGTTAAAGTTCCTTTCATCGTCACCATTATTATGCAAATGAGCTTCCTTGCCTACTGATTCAGGCTTTACTGAAGAACAACTATCCTCCTGATAGACTTGATCAGATGTCTCCACGGCCCACAAATCAATTCTTGGCATAAATATCATGCACTTCCCCAAACTAGCACATCTCACTGCACAAGAGATACAAATTTACTACTTCCTTCAGCAAGATGAGAAAAATCAAAAGCATAAACTTAAAACAAATAGCATACCAGCAATGTTTTCAGGGGTCATTCATGCACAACTGATCATTTAGCACCCTCAAAAAAACCAAACAAGAAAAATCAATTGATGGATGGATTTACACACACACACACACACATATTGGCACTCATTGCTACAAAACACAACCATGTGACAATGTTGATACAGAACCAAAACACAGAAAACAGCCAAAAAAGGAGCCATATTACCAACATCCCTCAGGGCTATGAACAGTTATATGCGCGACTCGAATTTTAAATAACTTTCACGTGTTTCTGATTGCAAGCACAATTAACCTTGATAATAGCTGTTTTCAGAATGAATTTTGTAGAGTCATGTAACAAGGAAGTTAGCACCAATGTTGCAAACCTAGTGGTGGTAACAAGTTCAGAAGATAATTAAAGGAAAACTTTCACAAGATGGAAGCCCATTAATAAGGTATCTCTCTTTGGAATGGAACTGAACTTCTGGGTATAAAAATGCTTTGAGAACTGATATCACATCATGGAAATAAGGTATCTCGAACTCATAAAGGCAAGTCCAGTAGATGTTTGTACTTCCAGTAAGCACTTCCAGCCATTAGGAGTGAGATAAATAAAAACAGAGAAGGAACATACTGAGTATCCGTGTCAACCCCTGAATGACATCTCCATGTCCTTCTTGAGAAAAGGTGGCCAAATCCACCTTCTGGACATCAACATTACCAACAAAACAATGAAGAAGAGAGGAAGCAAGATGCCTCTGGCCAGATCTTGGATTTCCAGAAATTAGTATTCTAAATCCCGATTTCTTTCCAGGCATATGAAAGATATTCTTCAACAATTTAGGCTGAGCCCCTGCACACTGCAACTTTGATAGTTCAGAATCAGTGAGACTGTGAACAATATCATCATCACTAGCATCAAAACCACCAACACTAACATCTCCAACCAGAATGTTGGCACGTATAAAGTGATCCTCAATCTGACTGATAACATCTGGTTCTTGAAGCAAATCATTAACGTAGGACTGCCAATTATTGCATGGTAATTTCTTCTTAACCAATTGAGAAAGAATAACGTCTTTTACCAACTCAGAAGCTTTAGAGAATAGGGGCGGCAACCAGAGGCGTTCGTCTAGATAAAGGGATACAAGCAATCTACTAAGTGGTTTTAGCAAACATGGAACAAGAAAGGTGTGTAGAGGCGCTGAAACCACATCATTAGCAGCCATTCCAGCTTCTCTACGTGAACATGGAGGTGGTGCACATGTAAGAGCCTCTACCCAATCCCTCTCCTCCACCTTAAAATTGGGAAGAGGGGGAGATGTAGCATTGGAAACTTTCACCGCTGCAGAGAGTCGCTCATGCAAGGGAAAGCTCCTTTTTAAAGCAATTATGGCTGCCTGAGTACACAGAGCCT